GATATAAAAATTACATCATTTTTTTTAGCATGTCTTCATAATGATTATCTTATAACATTCTTTTTTAACAAAAATTCTTTAAGGATTTCCTCTTATTTTTCGCAATGTTATCACCTCATATTTAACATGACTGCCGATGCGATTGTTTTTATTAACATCAGAGTGACTTAATCTTTTATAACCATAATTTTATACAATTTGGTTGATTTTTTAATTCCTAAAATTAATAAATCAACCAAAACACTCATTAACTTTTGTTTAGTATAACAACTGTTTCTAAATTCTAAATTGAACAATTTCTTCTAAATTCAATATATTCATTCGATATTGAATTTAGAAGCAATTTCATTAAGGTGTTGAAATGTAAAGCATTTATGTAATTGCATTTATGTTTTTTTTTTATAAAAAAAAAAAACTTTGGTGCGAAGCAGAAAATGTTTATACAAAAAATCTCTTGAGATAAATTTTGTTTTATCATTTCAATGATTTATAATAAATTTTTTTAATTCAATCTTGTTTATTTCCGATTTTTAATTATTATTTTAAAATTGATAATACAAAATAAGTGTAAATATAAATAAAGGGTATATAATAAAAAATAGTATCAAATAATAATATAAAATAAAATGTATACAAATTAAATTTTATTTTAAAATGAAAAATAAAGCACACTCACAATTTTTAAATTAAAAATGCTGTTATTAATTATCACTACTGTATTTTTAATTTAATGAACTATAAAATTGAAAAGCCAACTAAGCCAATAATTTTGCTGCCGCACATTACACAAGATAAAAATATTAAATCTAAAACTTTTTTTAAAATTTAAAATAGAAAACATTTGAATTTTAATCAGCATTAAAACAACAAATTTATATAACATTAAAACAACACAAAGTTGCTTAACAATAAAACATAACCTACATCAGTATATCGTCAAAGAATACAAAATATAACTTGTTTCAGTAAATTGTTGAAGAAATCAAAATACATCTTACATGAGTAAATCGTTGAAGAATACTGAAGATAAGCTTACGTTAGTAAATCATTGAAAAAACAAACTCCTCATTCATAAAGGAATTTAAAAACAAAAAATCAAATCAGAGCTTACTTCAATAAATAAACAGCTTTTTACGTATTTCGAAAAAAACGCAATAAAAAAAACAAAAAAAAACTAACTCTTTTCTATAACATCAAAAAAAAAAATTTTATGAGTTTCTTCGTAATTTTTCAAAAATATTTATTCAATAACTTTTGTAAACTTTTAAATTAGTTTATTTAGTAAAAAAAGTCAACTCTAAATAAACTTTTATAAATTTAGACAAAACTTTTTTATCTTAAGATGTTTCGAAGAAAACGAAATCGTCAAAGAAAACAAATTACTACTTACATCAGTAAATCGTCATTTTTATTTTTATCAGTAAATCGCACATCCGTATTAAATATTTGTATTAGAAAATATATTAAATATAAAATCTATATTATATATCTCCCCATGCATTTAAGTTGGTCATATTCTATTAATTTTTAAAACCAAATATAGTACGGTATTCTACGTAAAATTTGTTTTAAAAGCTAATTTGAATTGTATATATATATATATATATATATATATATATATATATATATATATATATATATATATATATATATATATATATATATATATATATATATATATATATATATATATATATATATATATATATATATATATATATATATATATATATATATATATATATATATATATATATATATATATATATATATATATATATATATATATAGGGCAGTCCAATTTGTCTAAAATGGTAGCATCGTTTAGAATATCGAAGCCCTCCGTTTCTATTTCATTTCCATTTTCTCTACTGCAGCAATTACGACCATCAACTCTCTTTTGCACTTTGCGGGCAATGCAAACAGGTCTAATTAGCGAAAGTACAAGTTAAATTATTTACAGATTCTTTGAGATAAACCCAATCGCACAGAGGCACAAAACATATAACAAAGAGGAAGTTTAAATTCTTTCAATGATCGTGAATGGTGCTCTAAATATTAGAGGCAATAAAGAAAAAACAAAAAGGAAACGATTTTTGATGGCGACGCCTGAAACGACTACAGCTTTCAAGCAATCTTCTGACTGGCAAATCGGAACTTGGTGGAGGCGAAAAGCGACCGGGAATAATATGGAATTAAGAGGTCTTTGTCAAAGACCAACGTTCAGAATCCTCACATTCATAATTTGCGTAAAATACTGATTTGTCCGCACATGAAAGTCAAGCCGTTCCTGATCTTTTGTTAAGAGTTGACGAGGATTAAGAGAAAAGCTCTGTCTTATCGTCTGGATCAATATACTTGATCACCGTATAGAACTGATTAATAATCAGCCCTGAGAAGACCAAGACACAGCTCTTTTCAGCAATTCAAAATTCTGTTTCTCCAACAGAAGATTCACGGTTCTGCCGTATATATATGTTGCAATAAAAATAATTAATTTCTTAAGCCTTGCTATATACATATTGTATTTTGATAAGGAGTCAAAATTAAAAATGAATTTGAATACGTTGAGTTTAGATGAGTTCCATAATGATCATGAAGGAGAATCATTCCCGCCTATAAATCTTGCTTTTCTAGCAAAATTTGGAGGCGGGAATGATTCTCCTCTCATCTAATTCAACGCTCATTCATCTAAGCTCTCTGAGAGCTTAGATGAATGAGCGTTGTTACAAAATTTTATAAGCGAATTCAAAAGACTGTAATAATTGCTATACAACTACTAGCCTTTGGACAATCATTTGTAATATTCGCTTTAGACAATCGTTAATGGTTGCTACACAAGCAGTTCCCTTTAAACACATATTTTTAATACTCTCATTAGACATCGTTAATAATTGCAAAACTATTTTAATCATTAATGATAGAAAAACTATTTTCTTATATACTACACTTATATGTATATATTATTAGGTATTGCAGACATAATTCTAAAGATGATTAAAAAGAAAGTTATTTTATAAAAAAGCAGTTTACAGTTTGTTAATTGATGTTTATTAAAGACACTCACTCTTTTACAAAGGGCATCGTTGTATGGTATACAATGCACAGTGGGCTCGATATTATTCTTACTAAAGAGGGTGAAATTCTTTTGATCGTTGTTTTTAACTAAACCCGTTTGTACGTTTATATGCTTTATATTTAGACTACTTTTATTTTTACATTATATTTATGATTAATTTCAGTTAAAATATTTCAAATATTGAAATTAGTTTAAAATTTTATACCTTTTTAAAACACAGACTTTTATTTACAAATTATTTAAAGCTTGAATCTGGAACAAAAAGAGAAATTATTAGTTTGGCGTTATTAGCCTTAATATGGTAGAACAAGCTTTAAAAGTTAAACTGTGAACAAACAAACTAATTGAAAACATTAGTTTTGAAGTGCAAAAAATCAACAGTTGTTTAAAAGTTATAACTAAGAAAAGTTGTTTTATCTAGCCAAATTAAGAAGTTTAAACCATATGAAATATTATGATGGAATTTAATTTTTCAGTAAATATTTTGGCAACCATTTGGTTAAACTAATTCTTTTGTTTTATATATGTTTCTTGAAGTAATTCAAGGTAGATCTGTATGATATCTTTTTTTTTTTTTTTAAGTTGATTAAGGTGCCCCAAAAAGTCCTTACGGCCTTATCACAGAGCACCGCGGAAGAGCATTTAATAGAAAGTTCACGCCTCCTTCCCAACCGATGTCGCAAAACTTGCCCAGAGGTGGGGTTCGAACCATGAATCTTACGTTTCTGAGACAAGTGCACTACCACTGCGCCACGGAACTTTTCTTCTACATGGAACACCAAAAGGATCACCTAGAAGCGTTTTTTCATTATAATCATAATCTTAGATACATTTCAACAATAGTCACTCAATTAGAAGAAATTGCTGACACCAATAGTGTCATCCCAATTGGGTACAATTTGCCGTTTGATATCAAATAAAATTTGTAATGATTCAATTTGTTTAAAATAAAAAAATTAGAGTTTGAAAAAAAATTGATCATTTTTATTACTTTCCAACGGGAATTCGTTTTTAAAAGTTACGTTCTAAATATCTTTTAAACGTTTTTTAAATGTCTTTTAAACGTTCCTTACGTAAGAATGTTTAGAAGACGTTTAAAAGACATTTAGAACGTAACTTTTTGAAACAAATGCCCGCTGGGTTAAATCAAAGTTAAAATGTAAAATTTAGTTTTTAACTTGCTCGTGTTTTACTACTCATTGAGCATTGGCTCATCGCAAATAAATAAATTCTAAAAAAAAAAATTATTTAAAATTTATCAATTAACAGATAAAACGTTGAGCCAATAAGCATACCTATAAATCAAGAAAACAAAAAGAAAATATAGTTTTCTTTTTGTTTTCTGGCTCTATTAGTTGTGAATTTTGTTCCATATTCACTCCTTAGGAATTTTTTCTGCGTAGTTTCTGTTGTTTGAAAGTTTGTATGTATTTATGTTTTTTCTCTGTCTGTCTGCGTAAAGTAATTTTAGAATAGGAAGTTTTGTCACGTGACATTTTATCGCGGAAAAAAAATCGTTAATATATTTTTGAAAAACTTCGTCCAAAAAACGCCAGAAATGATTTTATGTAGGTTTTGAAGAATAAAAACCCACCCATGAAAATAAATATTATATAAAAGGTTGTACTACAATAATTTGTTTGGGGACGACGTTTTGGTTTAGAATTGATAAAGTTATTTAGTTTTAAATCTTTCAGTTTTGTTAAAATGCAAGTAAATTAAAATAACTCTTTCGTCCCCACGTAAAAATAAGTTCTGCAACTATTTATTTATTTAAGTGAACAAGTTTTTTTTTTTTTTTTTTTTTTTTGTAGTCTAAGGGTGGGTTTTTTGTTTTCTAAGTAAAGATTATTATAATTTCCCCCGTCTTTAGATCTTTTTGGTAAATTTGCCGTTTCTCTTTTACTTGAGAAAAGATTTTTACACACGTTGAATACTATATTTTATATAGCTGAGATTTTATTGTAAATTTTAACTTAAGGTATTCTAAAGTGAGTTTGTTTTGTGTTGTTAATGTGGTTGTTGCTAACCAATTAGTAATTGAATCTCAGCAGTTTATCAGTAAGTCTAATTTGTAACTTAGCAATTTTCTTTTTATACAATTTACTTAATTTTTAAGTTTATATATATATATATATATATATATATATTTACATATATATATATGTATATATATATATATATACATATATATATATATATATATATATATATATATATATATATATATATATATATATATATATATATATAATATATAATATATATATATATATATATATATAAATATATAATATATATATATATATATATATATATATAATTATATAATATATATATATATATATATATAATATATATATATATATATATATATATATATATATATATATATATATATATATATATATATATATAATAAGTAAAAAACTTTGAAATAATATATTTATATGTTTATATATTTGTTCGAATTGATGACTGGAAAATCTTTATTTATTTAGATAAAATGATAAATGAAAGTATTTATGATTGGTATTTGGCTTTAAAAGATACATCTTATGATGCAATATATTGTAGATATTGTTTGGATTTTAAAGTTGAACTGTTCTGCTGCAAGAAAGCTTTAGCCAAAAAGATAAATAGATTAGTTGACACCATCAGAAAATTAAAGAAACAACGAAAAAATAAAAAATTAGCATTGTTATTAGGTGAAGCCTTTTTTCCACCTGTGGCAAATTTTTCTGATAATACAGTGAGTGCATCAGAAATTCCTAAAGAAACAATACTGATAAGCGAAAACAAAATGCTTAAAAAAGAAAATAACATTTTTAAAAGGAAAATGGAATCTATGATGGATTTACAAATGGATTATTTTACACATCTAAAAGATTTTGAAGGTATGTCAAACAATCTAAAAATACTTATTTCGAAAAGCTCTCTAATAGAAGCTGAATTAAACTTTATTAAAAAGTGTTATTGTGAAAAAGAAGAAAGGTTAATAATATTGAAAACAAATTAGAGCTATTAAAGTCAAAAAATGAATCATTTAATGTTAAAAATTTGAATAAAAAAATAAAATATCGTGATACTCAGCTGGAAATAAAAAAGAATAAAATAAATTTGTTAAAAAATGAAGAAAAAAAAAAAAAATATTGCAATTAAAAAATAAAATAACAGATATTAATTCAATTCTTGAAAACTCAGATACAAACATTTCTGAATTAAAAAACTAAAAAATAAAGCTGCAAAAAAAAGTGAGTAATTTAAAAATTATTTTGCAAAATAAAACCAACTATATTAATGACAACAATATGAAAGATGTTATAAGTTTAGAGAAGGAAGTTGTTTCGTTATATAGTAAGACAAACATTTTAAAAGAGGAGAATCTAGAACTTCAAAAAATGGTTTCTTTGCTGGATGATGACGAAGTAATAACATTTGAAGATGGCAGATACAGTGATGACATTCGAGAAACAATAATGAAACTTCTTTCAATGAACGTGAGTATGAATAGTGTCAATGAAGTCATAAAAGTAGTTTTAAACAAACTAGCCAAAAAGAACATATCTAGACTGCCATTAAATGTAGGTTAATGAAGGAAACTTCAATTTTAGGTCAATTTCAAGTTGCAGAAGCAATGCTTGAAAATAATTTGATAAATAAAAACTCTAAAATAGGCAATTGTTTGCATGGTGATGGTACCCAGAAATACCATAAGCATTATCAAAACTTTCAAATTACTACAACTAGTGGGAAAACTTTATCTTTTGGTCTGTCAGAAGTGGCTGGCAAAGATGCAGCAACTGTTTTGCAAAACTTTACTAATATAGTAGATGACATTTGTGACGTTGTTAGCAACTCAGCCACTGAAAAAGAAATTAATTTTGCTAAACTAATAACATCAATAAAATCAACAATGTCTGATCTTTCTTTGGTTAATCCTCTTTTTAACTCACAGTTAAAAACATTAAGAGAAAAACTTTTGCCTATTGCAATTAGTAACTGGGACTTTCTTTCCTCAAACGTCAAAGACAATATGAAGGACATGAGTAATTTTTTCTGTAAACTTCATTTGCTCGCTAATTTTGCTTCTGAAACTGATAAAGTTTTAAATTCTTTTGAAAAAATTCTGCTTCAAAATGATTTTGAAACTGTTTTTGCTTTTAGTGGTAAAGAATGTGGTGCTGTACGGTTAGTCCTTACTACATGTAAGGCATTTCATTCAAGGGGTAGTGAGGAAGCTGGTGTTGCATCATGGTTTAATTCTTTTCTTTCCTCTCATAACGATAAATCTTATTTTGTTCTATTTATTGGAAATCGATTTAATATTTTGTATTACAATGCAGCTGCCCTATACTATCATAAGGATTCTATAACAGAATTTCTTAATGCTTGGCCTAACCCTAATAATTTATTAAAAGCAATTAAGGAAGATATCACAAATCTTGTATTCATTGCTGAAGTCCGTGCATTAGGTATTATTGACAAACTACTTACTGGTCCAATGTGGAGAATTATCGAATCACTTGATAGTATATTATTTTTAAACCCCTACCTACTTCGCTTGAAAGTTAGACTTTCATCTCTTTGTATCGATGCATGTTCTTTATTGTTTGCTAATGGAAAAATTTTTGAGGATACCAATCTTCTTCATCAAGATGTGGTTTACACCAAGCTGTTTGAATGCACTCAAAATGATGAGTTTGATTCTTTAACTGTTCAATCACTTGAAATTATTTTCCATGCGATTCTTGTTATTTTGGAAAGTCAGTGTGCTGATCAGTTACCAGGTGGTAAATATTGGAATCCATCTAATTCTGTTTCTGAAGCTGCTTCTAATGTCCCTGTCACTAATAAAGCATCAGAAAGCGACTTTGCCATTTTGGATTTAATGGTTCGCACAAAACCCAATGCAAATGTTCAAACTATCCAGGCTTTGACAATGTGGTCTCAGAACCAAACATTAGAATGGCTTAATGGTAAATCAGATGAAGAAAGAAAACAATTGCTTGAATATTCAAGAACTAAAGTAACATTAATGAAAAGCAAATATGATGAAAGAAAAGAAGCTCTTAAAAAAGATAAAGCTATGCACCTTCTAGCAAAGCAAGAAGAAAAAAATTGAGAAGAAATTAAACTACAACATAAAAAAGTTGCAGCTTGTAATGATTTGATAAATTAAAATGTAAGGGCTTGGATATCATTAGAGGAAGCAGAGAAAACAGTTTTTAATATAGAAGAGCCATTGAAATCAAAAGTACTCCTAGCTCAACTTAATTTTTATCGCATAATCTTAGGTGTCGAATGTGACAAAAAACTTTTTTGTAAAACAAAGGTAGAAGGAAGCAAAAGAATAAACTTGTCTTCAGAGGAATTATATCAAAATCTTCTTATTGTTATTCAAGCAAATTTAACACCAAACAAACAATCTTTAAGTAATAATATAAGTAATAATTTAAAGCCTCGTACAATGCGTGATGCAGCTGTTGAAAACAAAAAAAAAGAAATAATGAAAAAAATTCAGGATGCAAGACTAAACAAATTAATAGAGCAACAAAAAAAGCACTCTTTATCAAAATTTATTAACAATCCATCTAATTTTGTAGGTTTTTCTATACAACATCGTGTTAGAGAAGAAGATGCTCATGAAGTATCTTGGGAACGTGCGCAAGTGGTTCAAATTGATCAATTAAACGGTAGAAGAACTACATACCTTGTTAAGTATGATAATGAATCTGATGAAGTATGGTCATTTCCTTTAGTAATAGATTTTTAAAAAGGTGATCTTATTCTTTGTAGCTAGGATTGCGAGGTTTTATTTAATGTAAATTTAGAATTATGTTACAGTATATATTAATCTTATTTCTTTTATTGTTATGTTTCAATAGTTTTTTTTACTACATTTGAGTTCAGTGGTTTTTATTTATATTTGTAAATAGTATGAATCATATCTGATATGTTTATCTGCACCAATTTTGTTTATTTGTTGTTGTTTATTTGCAGTTTAACTGCACATTATTATTATTATTAAAAAAAAAAAAAAGCTTATGCAAAAATACTATTACTTTTACATGAACTGCCTATCAAGTAAAGGAAAGTATCCAGAAATGGAGGGCTAACCTTAGGCTAATTTACTATTACTTTTACATAAACTGCCTATCATGTAAAGGAAAGAATCCAGAAATGGAGGGCTAACCTTAGGCAACATGACAGCTCACGGATGGAGTGCAAAGTCCTATGGCTTTCCTTCTCGTTGGTGCACTTCGTTAAGTAAGTTAGACAATTTTGTCTAATTTATGAACGGAATAGCCAAGGCAAATTATGTATAAAATTGTTTGTTAACAATACACACACAGCTTACTCTGAAGTTTGAATTGAAATTCGATAATTAAAATATTTTTTCAGTAAATTTACCGATATGAAGTATGCTAAGTTTTAAATGAATTTTGAAAAGTGAAATTTCTGAGTTTGCAACATATAGTCAAATTTGGGTACATTAATAGTGCGATAATTTTTTCAAAGACAAAACGATTTAAGACATCTATTAAAAAGTTTAAGACAAATGAATAGATAAGATAATCCGTATAAGAATTTCCATGACTGTTAATTTCCATGACTGTTAATCTATGTTAATTCCGTATCTGTTAATCTATGTAATCTCAATTTCTTAATACAAGAGGGATGGGGTTAATAAAAGTGGATGGAGGAGTTTAGTCAAGATTTAATGAACCGGGGGAGGGGAGGGTCAGAATTTACACTGAAAGTTTTATTACTTATCAGTAACTAGAGTGTATTTTTTGATTTTTAAAGCTGAATTTCACTAATTAAGGACTCGAGAATACACAATCAAATAAAGCCAAACACAATGAAATAGAACAATTCAACGAGTTTTTCATTCACTGTTTTCAAAATTTTAAAAAAAGTTAAAAACCTTAACCCCATTAAAAAATAGAACATTTTTTATATTATGATAGGTGCTGAAAACAATAAATTAGTCGAATCAGTAGACTATAAGTGGTTAAATCTTTTTTTAAATCTATAACAATACTGAAATTATTAACAAGTCTTTGACTAATTTCTTTATTTGTTTGTGTAAAAATAAATTTTAGATTTATGTTTATTTTGTACATATTTTGACGTTTTCGGCGTGTTTTATTTGGGTTGGGTTGGGTATTCCACGTTGTTCAATTGATAATTTATTAAAGATAAATAAAATTAATTTAAGTTAATATTTATGATCAAAGTTTTGTTACGCTCAACGTATTATAAATTAAAACATTTGAAAATTTATTTTGTGTCAAAAAAGTTTAATACATATTTAAACATATTATACAGTTATTTGACTATTTCATGGTACGTCTGCGTTAACCCCCAAAAAAAATTCTACTTATGAATTGTTCAAATAATTTAGATTTACAATTTATTTTCTAATAAAATTTTATTATAAGTTAGTTTACGCAACTTTTTACGCAAAAAAAAAAAAAAAAAAAAAAAGTTTTTTTTTTTCGGTGCCAAAAATTGAACGAGATACTTTAAGAAAATATTTCATAAAAAGTCTATGAATTGAAAATATTAAAACACGTATATCTTTAGAACTAAATAAGCTACAGAGGTGGTTGAAACCATTTTGAAAATGAAATATATTAAGGAATATAATGCATTTAATATAAAAAATATTTACATTTGCTATAAATATTGCCTAAACTGCCTGTTTAGAAAACAATATTTGGTCAATATTTGCGCAATGTTTTAAATAATATTGTAAACTATATTGCACTAATATTATGATCTTAATAATCAAACTATATTTGCATATAATGGATTAACAATACTGTTGCAAATTCATTAAGCTAACAGCAGTTCAACTTTTCATCAATATTTACAACCAATATTGATCATTCTAAGCAGATACAGTTGAATGTACAAGGGCAATACTATGTCTACAACATTGGATCATTATTAAATAATCTGGGTTATGGCGTTTTACTTATTTCAAAACTGTTTCTTTAAAATGTGAGAATTTTAGGAATCCGAAAAAGTGCATAGAATGAATACCTTAAAATGTTAAAAAATCTATACTTTTTTAGTCACTTGAGTTAGGGAGATCGGGGTTTATCGGAACTTGGTGTTAGTTGGAACTACGAACATTTACGCGGACAAAAAAGCAGTTAATTAATAAAAATAAGATACGAAGATTTGTAGCACTAAAACACATACTGTTTTGTTGTTGGAACAAATACATTGTGAAATACAAGTTTTTGATCGAGAATTTAGAGAATTGAACACATAAAGTAACTTTTTGTAACTTTTTGTATTATTAATTGTAATCTTGTAATATAAAAGATAATGGTTTGATTTCATCTAAGTAGTATTTTATTTGCTCTTTCTTCAAAGTTTTTTTTACTCAGTATTTTGCTGGCGATTCCTTAGTCAAATTGTTTTAAATTTAAAAATGCTAGATAAGGTTTTGTTGAAACACTGTCAATGTGGTTTGTTGGAACACTGTCAATTGGGTTTGTTGGAACGTTTAACTTTTAAGACATTCCTTATACTCTATTCATTATCGCACATAAAATGTGATTGTTATTTTAAAATAATCTATACTGGCAAGCAAAAATAAAGTTTAAAACAAGGATTAATATTTAGAAGGATTAAAAGGATTAATATTTAGAAATATTAAAAGGATTAATATTTAGCTGTGTTTTCAGTCGTTTAACTTTTCCGCTTCCATGTGTCGTTGCAAGCGGCTTGTTCTTTATTAATTCTAACCATAAGTTGTTGTATTGAAGTTTTTTTAATATTTATTGAAAGAGTAAAAAAATGGCTTCAACTCTTGCTAGAAACAAATTAGCAAAAGAAAAGAAGAGAGAGAGACAAAAATTGAAAAAAAGTGCCAAAAATACAATCATAATTAACTATTAAAAGGAAATGGGAGACAAAATAGGAGTAAAAAATCTGTATAAAAACAAGAATAACAAGCAAGAAGCAGCATGCGTATTATGGCTCACAAGGCATAACTAAGTACAGATTCATACGTGGCCAAAGGCGTCTGTGATATCTGTCCTGATGACTGAGGTGTAATGCATAACTAAATTTAATTATTATTAGAGAGTATTGTGTGCTTAAGTAAGTAATATTTAGGCAATAAAATTTTTAATATTTTTGAGCCACTAGATATAAATGTTACTTTCGTTTTTACGCAGTTTTATCAAGAATAAGTAAAACTATAATTATTTTTAACAATTTATTTTTTAGTAAGAAGTACATTATCTTCCGGAAGTATATTTTCCGGCTTAATAGGAGTTAAATCATCATTCTTAATGCAAACATTATACATTTTCTTGCAACGGTGTAACTTGTATTCTCGTTCTTCATTAACAACGATTGGGATAGTTGACTCGTTATTTAATAATATTCTAAAATAATAAAAAAATACTGTGATCCGGATCTTAAATGGAAACAAAACTATGATCCGGGTTGTAAATTGTTTAAGATACTTACAAATTTACATAAAAACATTTAATTGATTAAATCATTAAAAAATGGTGTTAAATGATAATAAAAAAATGAATGTTTAATATAATCTTTACTTTTATGGCAATAGATAATTAAATTTACTAATAGTAAAAAAGTTACTTTGTATTTGTTGCTGCAACGTCAATAGGAAGACTTTGATTTCTCGCTGGTTTAACTGGAAAATGAGGTAACACGTAGTGACTAGGCGTGTTATAAAGTTTTGTTGACTTTGAACATAAGTAGTTGGGCACACTTTGCGTTTTTAATTGATTTGATTCACGAAAAATATGTAATTTAGCAGAAAAGGGTAAGTTTTTACAGCGCACATTTTGTCTACACAGAAAACCCATAAATCCGCTAAAAACAATTTACAAAATTGTTATAAATAATAACCAATTTATGCAAGATTATCACAAAAATCATAAAAATTGAAAAAATTTATTTTATTACCCTTTTTCTGTTGTTTTGCTCGTCATTTTAGTAAATAAATTTTAAACTTGGTTAAAATTTAAATGACGGCGAAGTTTGTAACGTGAAATAAAAAATCATTTGACGTCATTAATTGGGAGATAAACTTTTGAAGAAAAAAAAAGAGAGAAAAATGATGGTATCTTTAGATTAGCAAAAAAGCAACATGTTATTATATTAAGTAACCGGACTGGTCTAAAAAACATTACACCGGTTATTTTTATTCGGTCCAAAATAAATATTAAAAAAAATTTCTTTGTAATAATTTTAAACAATAATAACTATATAGGAATTGAAAATTTATTTTATTTTATCTTAATTTAATGTTAAATAATTTTTTAATATAACAATATTACAATACTAATATTTTTTAATTTTTTTATTTTATTTTTTTGTGTTGTTTAGGACCTAATAAAAATAATGATGATCAAAATTTGTTAAATAAATTTGTAAAAATAAATAATAAGTATTAATAAATAATTAAAGGTTTAACTTTAGTTTAAACTCAAAATCAAAACTTTATGCAGAGCAAATGTCATATAATAGTGGGAATAAGAGAAGCGTATTTTAAAGTTTGTCCTTGTTTTTTTGTCTTTAAAATTAGTTATTTGCAAAATTAATATATTTGGGATTTTTTTGCTGTGTTAGCACGATTTGAACAAATATTTTTTTGATGTCAGAAACTAAATGACGCACAATAAATATATATAAAAAAGACGTAAAAATATACAGCTGCGAGTAAACTTTTTTTATTATATTTGAAACCTTTACTTTGATTCTGATTGAACAATTAGATAATTACAGTGTTTTCAATAATTGATAAATGAATGCACCGTTTTGTAATCTTTTTTGCTAGAACATCTTTATTATGCCCATAAAAAAAAATTTAAGTAAACTCATCATTATATATACATATATACAGGGGCGGATCCAGACTATCTAGTAAGGGGGAGGAGCGATTTGAAATTTTTTTGATTCGGTACATCCAGACTGTTTAAAAAAGAATGAGGGGGAGGGGGAGGGAGGAAGAGGATGAGATTGATTTGATTGATCCAAACCTTTTGGTAAAGTGGGGGTATATATATAATATATCATTATATAATGATATATAATGATATAATACATATATATATTTATGACAAACATACATAGACCATGTTGATGCAACAAAAAAATAGTAATTAAAAGCAGACTCAGCAAAAGTTTTTGAAGATTCGACAAAAGAGTTTACAATTATAATTAATGTATTTTGCATTAACTATAAATGTATAATACGTTAATTATAAAATAATGCGCAATGCCTACATGAGTTTGCTGACACCGCACTATTATAATAGTGATGAACTTATAACTTCATCAAATAACGTTGGTAAAGTAATATTTTTTTCTTTCTGTTTATTTATTTTCAATGGCAGACAAAATAATTTTTGTAACTAATACTTAAACTTTAGATAATACAAAATAAATAAAAAAAATTAAAAAAAAAAAAAGAAAAGAAAAAGAAAATGAAAATCACATTTTTATTTTCTTGACACTTTAATAAATAATAGTTAGTTTAGAAAGCTTTTAAAAAAAAAATTACTTGAAACAATTTTCTAAAAACATTTTTTTTTAAATATACAAAAAACAAAACAATATTCCAAAATGAGCCTTATCATTTTCAATGATATGATAAAATAAAACAGTGTTCATAAAATAAATTCTGACATTCCCTTTATTGTTATGTGCGTTTCCTAAAAGCTGATTTGATTGAAACAGGAGATATCTATGTTTTAGAGCTGAGGATTTCTTTCTTTTTTCAGAACTGAGGATATCTTTTTTCTTAGTTATCTTATAATCTTTATTTTTTGAAAAACCCAAATAAAAATATGAAAACTTTTAGGTTTATACAAACATGTAAATCCCTCCTTTGTTATCTTCTTTATTTATGCTTGCTTGCTGTGCAAAGTTTATATATATATTTTGCTTTATTTTTGTTTTAACTAAGAAAAGGTCGTCCATAAAGTACGTACGCTCATAGGGGGAGGGGGAGGTTTTCAAAAAGCGTTCGAAAGCGTATGAGGAGGGGGGGGGGGGGAGAGGGAGGAGAGGGTTCAATTTAAAAGTACGTACATCGATTTTCTAATTTATCACAACTAACCAGCTAATCAATAGAAAAATTAAAATTCTGACTAAAGATCCTAGTTTTTTAACATAAAAAGATGTTTGGTATAGGGAGTAGAGGATACAGTTTCCCTCAATCCACACACATGCATGGGGGCCCGCAGGATTTTTTGATGTTCCAGATGGGACACTTTCACACATTGTGCAAACTTTAAACTTAAGTATGTTTATACCTATACCGAATGAGGAGGCCTTGTAAAAAATTAAGAGGGCGGAGGCCTGGGAGCAAAGAAGCCCTAAAACGCCCCCTCCTTATGAAAAAAAAAAAAAAAAAAAAAAGACGGATGTGTAAATTTTGCATGGTCATAACTTTTGTAATTAACAATTTTTTTCTACGAAATTTAAAATCTGTAAATAAATTTAAGTTTAGTTTTAGTTGGTAAAGTCGAAATTTTACTACTTTAGTGCCCTCACGCTTGGGCAGGGGTAAGCTTTTTAGGATTTTTGTTTCCAAGCCTCCATCATCCCAATTTTTTGCAAGGTCTTCTCATTTGGCATAGTTATACTTAAGTTTTAGAGCTTGCACAAATTTTACACATTTGGCATAAGCATACTTATGTTTGGAAATTGTGCGAGCTCCAAACTTAAGTATACTAAATGTGCAAAAGTGTCCTATCTAGAACATCAAAAAATCCTAAGGGCACCCATCCGAACATGCCACCCTTTATATACTGGCCCTGAGTAAAGCGTATTTCTGGCAACTTTTTTTTTGAGTCAACAAAAAACAGGTTTTAGCAGTGCCGTTGCTAATGGGTCAAAGCTCCCCCCCCCTCAAAAAAAAAAGTATCATTTGGGTCTCAAAATCTCCCAAATTTTACCGCTAGATTTTGCTAAAATAAAAAGCTCCTTAAATTAGCAAAAAGGCACAAAATTTTCTGCCTCCTCCCTCCCCCTCCCCTCTAAATTAAGGGGTACGATTAGTCTATCCTCAGCACTGGGTTTTAGGATTTGTTTTCGATATTACTGATCTCGCGTAGGACTCGTTTTTTATTGACTTACTAAATAGGGGTGCATGAAACAAACGTCCGCCTTAATTATAGTTTATTTTTATTTGATTCGTCATTAAAACAAAAAAAAAGTACAGTATGGCTTGACCGGGGATCGAACATCGGCCTCAGTCGCCGCAGTCCAAATCATTAACCGCTCAACCAAGCGAACTCGTTAATATCGTATAATTTAACTTTATTAAAATTAATATTTGCATATATATTTGAAGACATTTTTTAATTTGGGATCCTGTGCCGCAAACAATTGCTTGCAGCACAGGGTTCTAAATTACAAAATGGGATTATAATCCCGTTTTGTATTTTAGCATAAATAGCATATTAGCATAGATATTAATTTGATAAATGTTTAGCGCTTTCATTTCTTTTAATAGAGGTTTAGCATGTTTATGTTTGTTTTTATGATTTATTATTATAGAAGCATGTTTCTGCCGTCGATAAAGAGACATTAATTTTGTCTTGTGTCCGCTTCTTCAATACAACGTTAGCGTATATACAATGACTATGTTGTTTTGATTGGATGTATGTTCACAAATGCCATAAATTTTGTAACAATATTTATAAAATTAAATTTTTACAAAAAAGTTATTAAAATTTCAAGGGATTTTGAATTACCTTTAGATTTAGATTTAGGCAAATGTTTTGGCTAAATATACTAACCATTTTTTAAATATACTAACCATTTTTTAAATATACTAACCATTTTTTAAATATACTAACCATTTTTTGCTACCGTCTTAAAGTAATATTAAGTTTTTGACCTAAAGTTGCTGCTAAAAAAAAATTCTAAAAAAAGTTTTTATAAGTAATAATATATTAATAACTATTTTACCGGGGTAAGTTTGCGTCATTTTACACCGCGATGGGGTAAATTAGAATACTTTTTAAAGAATGCAACTTGAAAATGTTACCTAAGTACATACTTTTTTAGGCTACACATATTGTTTACAAAAAAATTTGACGTTAGAGCTAGAGGGTTTTTACTGTATAAATTATATTTTATTACAAAAAACTGTTTAAAATGGAATAAATAACATTTTTTATATGTTTTAATAAAAGTATCATTCATTATTCTTAATGAGTAAATGAAACGTACACTGCTAAAATTTTGGTATAACTAATTATTTTTTAAAAGAAATTTCGAGTACAATTAATTTCATTTCTCTAAACATGGTGGTGAAACGCTTAAACAATTGATTTGTTTCTCTAATTTGGTGGTGAAACGCTTGTATATAAATACAATTAAGACAGTTTTGGCAGTTCTAAACACGGTGGTGAAACGCTTAAACAATTGATTTGTTTCTTTAATGTGGTGGTGAAACGCTTGTATATTAATACAATTAAGGCAGTTTTGGCAACTGCGGTTGCCAAGAACTTAAAACTTTAAGTTTTTTAACACCAAAGTTTTCCAGCAACAAATTTTCTATGAATTTGAAACTTATTTTAAAATTTAATTAAAAAAAACTTAACTTAGAAGATGGTGTATATCATACACTGTCAAGTGTCATGGTTACATATTGTAATACACAGTTCATAGTTAATCAAAAAAAACAAAAAGAGTGACCAAAGACTAAAATATAATTTATGGAACTGGCAAATTACAATTTACTGAATTTAGTCAATTTGTCTTATACAACAAGGCCGACGACACGGGTTTCAAATTGGAGGGGCACAATAGCCAATTTCTAAAAAAAGTCCTCTCTTGCAAGAAAAATAATAGTTCATCTGCGTCAATTCTGGTTTTTCCTATTGTTCAAGATCTACAAGCTGATAAATTACTTAAAAAATGGGTGTGTCAAGGGTAATGAAGCATTAAACAATTTGATATGGTATCGTGTACCCAAAAATAATTTTAAGAAAATTTGTAAGAAAATTTTTTTTTTGAAATAAATATCCATTTAACAGTGATCTATTATAATGACGATCCAAATGGTGTATTAAATGAGCTAAAATATTACGGCTCTATCGGTTCAATAACTTTTAAAATATCAGTTTTAGCAAATATTGCTCGTGTTAAACAAATGAACTTAAAACCAAATAATGAAGAAAAAAAGGAGAAAATGTTTAAGATCATATAAAATGGTATCCTGTGATGCTGAATAAGATAAGGAAAAAAATAACTTTTTGTGGTTTTACGATTTTTTAAAACTTTTTTTTTAAAATTTTTTTTATTTCTTAATTTTTTTGCATCATTTTTTTTTCAGCAAATGTTTATTTAACAATAATGCTCTGGTTGACCAATGGATTTTTCTTGAACTTGGTTAAATAAAAAGTTATTGCTAAGAATCTACAGAATGAAATTTTTAATTTTTTAGTAAATTTGTGATAAAAATAGTAATTTAAAAATTTTTTTAAAACGTATGTGTTCAACGTGGGGCATAACAAGGTGTTATATAACTGTGACAATTTTTAATTCATAACCTTTTAACTAGATCAAGATATTATGTTTTGATATACAGACATTTTTGTTCTTTGTTCCACCATTATGGATTTTTAATGAGTTTCAAATAAAAATACTTATAACAATTTATAAAAACATTTTAGATCACATTTCAACTTCATTTTCCCCCATTACCACTCGTACCACTGTCATAAACGTTTTAGTATTTAGTTAAGAATATTTGTAATTTGTTATATGTCACGCGATGATGTTTTTTACGGTATTTTGAATGGGTTTTTCTTACGGCAATCACTTGGTCAATTACGGCAATTACGGCAATCAATTACGGCAATCAATTACGGCAAATCAATTACGGCAATCAATTACGGCAAATCAATTACGGCAATCAATTACGGCAATCAATTACGGCAAATCAATTACGGCAATCAATTACGGCAAATTATCTTGTTATCTAGGGAATACTTAATTTATGTATTTTACTTACGGATAATTGCAGGTTTTGTATAAATATTGTTGATTTATATTGAAATACATAAAGCGTAAAAAGTGATAAGCCTTAGTCAGTTGAACGCAACAAACAGAATATTAAATTCACGACTCAAAGTGGCGACTCTGCCAGGACACTGGATCAACCAAGTAATCAACTGTCTAAGGAAAACCTACAACGAAATTTAACATGACTCCTAAGCAACGCGAAGATCTTATCGCAACATTAACAAGAAGATTGGAACTAATGATATCAAAAATTGAGCGGCTCGGTTTGAAAGTACGCATGGCATTGAACAATAACGATATACATTCATTGAAACAATTGAAGCCAATTATCAAAGCAAAATTGCTGGATGCTTTCAACTTGATCCAAAACATAGAAGAATTAAAAAGAGATGAAGATAATCCCGACAATGAAGACATCGACTACTGGTACAAACAGCAAAACATCTTAATTAAACAACAAAATGAAATTCTTACTTCAATGGTAGAACATCGATTAGAAAGAGACATTTTAAAAAAGAAATTGATGCACGAAGAAATTATTAGCGTAAAACAAGAAGTAACTCATAGTACAGACACGAACGACTTTAAAGCAAAACTTCCCAGACTTCAATTTTCAAAGTTTGATTACACCATTTTTGACTGGGTACGGTTCTGGCAACAGTTCAGCACTGAAATTGACAACACAAACTATCATACCTACGTGAACTCTTATTAAACATTCCAAAAAAAGAAATTACTGGACTTCCGTTTAATGCAAGTGGTTATAAAAAAGCAAAAATGGTGTTGAATCAAAAATATGGAATCAATACTGAAATCATTCGTCAGCATGGTCGTGATATTATGGATCTTCTCTTCATAGAATACAATCAAATACATAAGTTCTACAGAAAATTAAACGTCAGTGTAAACTCATTAAAAACATTAAACAAATAGGAGACAGCAGAAATTCTGGTGCGTGAAACTTTCAACAAGCTTGGTCCTGTTAAAACGGACATCACTCAAACTGATTCAAATTTGTTGGATTGGGGGGTTGAGCAGCTGATCCAAGCCCTACGTGACTATACACTACGAAATCCGGAACAAAACCATCCAAAAATTGTTGTAAAGCTTGGTAAATATAATTTGAGAGTACTCTTGGACACTGGAGCTGGTAGCTCTTATGCTTCACCTACGCTAATCAAAAATCTAAAATTAGAGCCAAACAAATGGTAAGCAAAAAACATCAAAACAATGTCTGGCTCAGTTCACCAAAATATTTCGTTGTTCAACACGAGGCTAGACTCAACGAATGGACGCAGCAGTCTTGATATAAAACTTTAAAAGTTGGACGAACTGTGCTTGCGGTGCTACAAAATCCGATGATATCCGTCTTAAAGAAGAAGTACAAACACTTAGACGGGTTGCATTTTGACAATGAAGATAACTATGATAATCACAAAATACATCTTATTATTGGTGCTGGTGGTATTCAATTAAAGAATACCACCAGCACCAATAATAAGATCAAATTAAAAGGCTTCAGGACTGGAAACAACGGAGAAGCTGTTACAGAAGAAGCTATATTTGGTTGGACGATTATGGGTCAAGGACAAAGCACTTCGGATTGCTTATACTTTACAAAGTCAGTCAACGAATGCTACAAAGAGCTTTAGTAAATCAAACAACATTTATTGACATATCAAAATCATTACCCGCATCAAAAGAATGAATTTCAATTAATCAGCAAGAGCATATACGTTGATGACATAATCACTGGAGGGATTGATATAGAATATATTAAAAATCTGAAGCTAACAGCAATTCATTTATTCCAAAATGGAGGATTTGACCTTCAAAAGTGGCATTCAAATTTTACCAAATAAGAAATAAATGACAGGAGAGAACTATAATGAAGTAACCCTAAATGAACACCAGCAACGTTATTCAAAAATTCTTGGTTTGTTATGGAACAAAAGTAATGACATTTTAATTGTGGATTGCAGACCGACTCTCAAAACAGATAGTTTAACCAAAAGAGGAATTTTATGAAGCTTGGCTAAAGTCTTTGATCCATTTAGTGTAATTTCCCCAATAACGCAACAGCAAAACTAATCTATTGGCAAATATGTGATTTACAATATTTGTGGGACAAACCAATTTCACCAGAGTTAGGAGAGAGGTTGCTGCATTGGAAAAATACGTTACCAGATCTAACACCAATACCGAGAAGTTTAACTATTTTGGATCATATGATAAAAAAGGTTGAAATCCATGGTTTTGGTGATGCAAGTAAAGATGGCTGCTGCCGTGCAATATATGTAGTAGTTCATCAAGGTAACAAAGTCACTCAAGGATTACTTACTGCAAAATCACGCATTTCCAAACGAGGTTTATCTATTCCAAGGCTTGAATTAATTTTTGGACATATGGTAGCCAACGCTCTTACAAACGTTAAACTGGCACTTGATGGACACTCAATTATTGAGGTATACGGTTGGCTTGATAGTTCGGTGGCATTACATTGGATTCTCAATGACAACCGCAAATGGAAGCAGTTCATATCAAATCGAGTCAAAGAAATCAATAAAAACAAAGTTGGATTATTTGGCGCCACTACCCAACCAATCTGGATCCAACAGATATTGGAAGTAGAGGAGTAAAAAAAGGAAAACTTCCTCAAATCTAGTTTAATGGTCCAACATGGATAGCCAAAAAGAATGAGTAGCTGCCCAACATATTCCATATCCAAATAGAAGAAGTAATGAAAAAAGTTAATCCGACTAATAAATATTATTTTGCTATAGTCGAGAAAGTTTACTACTTAAATGAGCTTATGAGCAAGTATCAACTACCAAAGATTATAAGAATAGTGGCATGGGTCATAAGATCTTTTAACAACATCAGAAGCAAAAAGAAATATCGTGGGTTGTTATCAGCTGCCGAACAAAACAGAGCCAAGCAGGAGCTGATCAAAAATGTTCAACACGAATTTGAAAATTCCAAAAGTATAAAGAAACTTCCAAAAGATTACGATTACACAAAAATAACAATGGGCCACTAGTATGTATGGGTCGTGTACAGGGCGAGTACCCATTATTTTTACCATGCAAGCATTCGATTACTAGCTTGGTAAAAAAGAGAGCACATGCACAAACGCATCATGGAATGGTTGGCTTAACAATGTCAATGTTTCGTGAGCACTATTGGACAGATACCCTACGTAGCCAAGTCAAAAGAATAATATACAATTACAATTGGTGTAAAAAATTCAGTTGCAAACCACTGCTCGCTCCATCAACAGATAACAAAAGTAGTTATCTCTTTGAAACTGTTGGTTTGGACTTTGCTGGTCCAATCGAATATAAAGTCAGCAAAGAGTGTTACAGAAAATCATATAATGTATTGTATACTTGTGCAACTTCAAGAGCAATCCATTTGGATCTGCTAAAAACAATGGAAAATAAATATTTTAGACGAAGCATAATAGAAATGATTGCAAGAAAAAGGACACCTGCACTTATAATAAGTGATAATGCTAAAACATTTTTCAGCACTGCGAGGTGGATCCGTCGATTACGAAAGGATTCGCAGATAAATGAATACCTAGGTGAAATGAACATAAAATGGCAGTTTAACTTAGCAAGAAGTTCATGGTGGGGAGGCTTCTTTGAAAGAATGGAGGGTTTGGTAAAACGATCGTTACACAAAGCAACTGGAAAGCTTTGCCTATTTTCCAAATGTCTGAAAGTAGTTTTAAATGATATTGAAAATACGTTGAATAACCGACCATTAGGATACATCGAAAACGATATTCAACTTCCAGTGTTAACACCAAACATAATTTTACACGGAAAAAGTATTACCATCCCTTTCAAAAATATAGATGACGACAATCGAGAGTTTAACGAAAAAAGAGATATAGACGTTTAAAAAAAAGTTTATCATTGATTACAAACTCTTTACAACTCCGTAATTTATTCAAAACAAGATGGCGCGAGCCAAACTAATAAATTCTGTAGAGTTTCAATACAACAACACGTGCAGTATAGTACATCACAAAATGCAAAAACTAGGCGTGGAAAAGATGGACGAGCGAGTACTTAAGATCGTTGCGAGAAAATCATCGATACAAAGATCAAAGTTAAAACAACATAACAGTGGGAGTGATTTTCTTACTTAAAGGGGAAGAAATAAATCGAGGCGAGTGGGAAATTGGTGATCCAATGGCGATCACAAATAATACCGAATATGTATTATAACTTATATTTTTAAGATCTTAACCTTTTTTAAATTAACTATATCACTTCTATTCTTTATATTTTTTTATCTGAAAAACAACAACAAAAAAACTCTATTTATACAAAAATTTCGTTCAATAATAAAAAAAACACTATTGTTCAAATAGTCGCCATATAATTGTTATTTAGCTCGTTATAGCCATATTGGCGCTATTTACTGGTTACATCGATCGTGGTATTGGAATATTGTGTTTCTTTTATGCTAATTCAATTTTCTTCCAATTATTCTCCCCCTCTTTGATAGACTCCAGTCTATCAAACACCCTTAGTTATCAAACTAAGAAGACACAATCTCGTAATTGGTTGTATAAATTCTTTTTCGCCAATTTTGATTTTCACAACTCTTACACGTCCATCTTTACTTTCAAAGACTTCCGTAATTCTACAAAGCGGCCAACGTCCTCTAGGTGTATCTGGAGAAATTACTAGCACAATGTCATCAGTTTTTATTTTGAATTTTTCTTGATTCCATTTATATCTTTTAGATAAAGATGGAAGCCATTCTCGCATAAAGATGGAAGCATTCTCTTGCACTCAACGCCAGAGCTTTTTAGGATGATAGCCTTTAGATTGAACTGAGTCAGGTGCGAATTGTCCACCAACTTGCCCAATCAAAAAATGATTTGGAGTTAATGGAATATCACCTTTTATATTGGCACTCTGATAAGTTAGAACTCAATAATTTATATTTCTCCCTCAATAATTATATTTCTCAACTCAATAATTATATTTCTCCCTCAATAATTTATATTACTCAACTCAATAATTATATTTCTCCCTCATACATTGTAATATAAACTATGCAAATATTGCATGGTGCAGCTCTAATGTAAGTAAAGTTAAAAAATTGCTTAGTAGACAAAAACACGCTGTCAGGATTATTTCAAATGCAGGTTGATTCGCACATTCTAAAGAACTATTCAAAAATCATCACATACTCAATGTTCTTCAGTTAAACCTTAATCAAATTCTTATTTTTATGTACAAACTACATAATAAATTAACTCCTATAATTTTTAATACATTTTTCAATAAAATTAACCACGTGTACCCTACAAGATTTTCAAATTACAATTACGAGCAACCTAAAATACACTATTTGGCTACTAAATTTTCTATTGCCATCAGAGGTCCTAAATTATGGAACACTTTATTAAATAACCAGCTGAAAAATTGTTCTTCACTTTCTCTATTTAAACAAAAACTCAAACAAAAACTTCTTAACGATGTTAGTGAATTAAATTCTTTTTAAGATTCTTTTATCTTCTTTTTTAACAACTATCTTATTAACTAGTCTAACCAATTTAAATTTTCTTTAATTATCCTATTAGCTTATCTTCAGTTTTTAAGTGTGATTGCTTTTTTTTTTTTTTTTTTTTTTTGTTTTTTTTTTTTTTTTTTTTTTTGTTTTTACAATTTTCTTTTTACAATTTTCTTTTGATTATAGATTAGTAACTGATCTTAACATATTTGTATATATTTGTATATAATTTTTAAATGGTACAAAGTAATTTTATGTTTTATGTTTACATTTTAATGGTTATACACGCTTGCTGATGAAAACACGTCGGGGTGTAGTGATAAGGCAAATATTTTCTTCTTTTAGCCCCGGTCATGTAGATTTTATTTATATAACACGGCATTGTATTCTTTTTTTTTAATGACAAAAAAAAAAAAAATAAATAAAAAAAATAAAAAAAAAATAATAAAAAAAAGTAAATAAACTCTCAGCACCTGTAAATACCGTACGGCGCTTTTCATCTGTAATATTGGCTTTTTCGAGTATCCCAGTCACTGCACATTTGACAGCTTTGACCATTATTTCAAATACACCGCCATGATAAGGTCCTAGCAGAGCATTAAAGTGCCACTTGATTCCTTTATCAGCTGTAGAGTTAGTAGTTTTATTCTTATCTAAGTCGTTGACAATTTCGTTTAGTTCTCGACATCCTCCAACGAAATTTGTTCCATTGTCCGTTAAAACTTCTAATTGTAATCCTCTTCTATTCACCATTCAATAAAAAAGGCATTGAGGAATGAGTTTGTATCTAAATTATAAGCCATCTCATCAAGATGTACTGCTCGTGATAGTAAACAGGTAAACAAGCACGAGTATCTCTTTTGTCGTATCGTTTCTCTACCTTGCATAGTAAGAAATGGACCAGCAAAATCAATACAAATTCTAGAAAACGCAAGCAGTGGTTCTTTAAAGCGCATTGCTGGTAAAGGAGCCACCAGCTGTTGAGCAGGTTTACATCTTCTTAATTTACATTTGTTGTATTTTGCATCTGCATCTCGGATTTTTTCTCGTCCTCGTACTACCCAATATCGTTCTGATAGTTTTGTTAATAATTGATTTGTTCCCATCATATGATTGGTTTCGTCATGGTAATGTTTAACAATCAATTTTGTTAATGTGTCGTCTCGGCAAAATGATTGGATGCTTGACATCGTAGGATAAGTAATGGGCATTTTACAATCGACTACAAGATCGCAATAATCCGTCTTCGTCAATTTGAGGATTTAAAGAAATGATTTTGCTTAATATCGATATCAGTTTTCCTTTTTCAATGTTGCTATATTCTTCTTTAAAGATTTCTTTTTGAGCTTTAGCTAAAATTTCTTTTTTGCTTTCATGATATTTATCAGCTGCTATATCACCCTTTTTACGAAAGTCCGTTTCAAATCGACAATTTCCAATAAACCGATGGATCCAGCCGTTTATCCTGACAAGTTTTTTCCAACATGAGAACTTATTTATATCAAGCAATTGCTTTGTTACTTCAGTGGATAATGCAAAGTTCATTAATACTGGATTTTTCTTTACTTCATTTGAAGCCTCTTGTGCAATGTATGGTAGCATGGACCAAGTTTCCTTAATTCTTTAGAAGAAAAATGGCCACAGAATTACATTGAAGTTACATGTAACTTCAATGTAATTCTGTGGCCATTTTTCTTCTAAAGAATTAAGGAAACTTGGTCCATGCTACCATACATTATTACTTTCTAATTCTTTAACTGTTGTTCCTCTTGTTAGTAAATCAGCTACATTAGTTTTTGTTGGTATGTATCTCCACTGTTTTAGTTCAGTCTTTGATTGAATGAATCCAACACGGTTGGCAGCAAATGGTTTCAACTTTCGACTTTGATTTTTTATCCACCATAAAACATTAAGACTATCACACCATAGAGTTACGTTCTTAGTTTCCAGCTTCAATGCTTTGACAATCTTCTCTGCAAGTCGTAAACAGAGGACAGCCCCAAATAACTCAAGTCTTGGTATACTAATAGATGGCAATGAACTTACTCGGGCTTTTGACATTATTATCACACAGGTCACTTCTCCTGTGTCATATAAACATTGTTGATAAGCACCGTAAGCTTTACAAAATACATCCGTAAAAACGTGGATTGACCTATTTTTAACTGTTGAAGTTGTTTGTAAACATCTGGGAATGTTTATTTTTGGGAGATTGTTTAGTTCTTGAAACCATTGATCAACATTATTTGCAATATTATATAGGAACTACATCATCCCACTCAATTCCATCAATCCACAATTCTTGCATAATTATTTTGATTCGAATAATATATGGTACTAAAAAACCCAATGGATCGAACAACGGTGCCATTTTTTAAGCAAAATTCGTTTTGTAAATACCATATTTTCTTCGGTTGCAACTGAATGAAAACTAAATAAATTAGGTTTTGCTTTCCAGACAACTCCAAGTGTTTTCATTGCTGGCAATTCTCCAGAATCTAAATTTATATGTTCTGCACGATCATTTTCAAGTGTTTTTTTAAGAACTTCGACCGAGTTTGAAAGCTACTTTCGTGCAAACATTCCTTCTAAACCCCATAGTAGCGTAAGTTCCTTGTATAATTGAATTCCTACTTTTTCATCAACTGCACAAGTTATTGTGTCGTTCATTTAAGTTGCTTCAAGAACAGCTTCAGAAGCCAAAGGAAATTTTCGTGCATACTTTCTTGCGTGTTCTTGCGTTACAAATTGAGCCATTAAAGGCGCTGAGTTGATTCCAAATACCAGTCGATTAAACTGAAATACCTCAGGCTCGGCAGTTGGATCTAGGTTTCTCCATAAAATTTGTTGTTACCTTTGGTCATCTTTATGTATTCCAATTTTTAAATACATTTCTGCAATATCACAAGCAAAAACCACTGGGTTTTTGCTTGCAATTAATTTATACTCAGATGTCGCTGGGGCTTGATCAATACATGCGTAGAATGAAGTTTTCCAATTTTCATATTTCCTTTTATTGCCATTAAACATTGGTGTAGAGACGCGTTTTAGTTGTTTCCATAAATCATGTCCAATTTTTGCAGTCTTTTGATCCAAATCAATTATTTCATTTTCCATTTTACGCATGATATTTGTTGATTTGATTGGTTCAATTTCGCTACTGCCATTTTCTTCTTTATTATCTTCATACTGGTCATTATTTTTTTGAGTACTTGACCATTGATAACATTACTTTTTTGTTTCCATTTTAAGTTCTTTTTCCATCTTTTGTTGTTTTAAACTTGATTTTAAACTTCCATTGCGCAATATCCATTCGTTTACATGTTCCATAATTTCCGCAAATTCGTCGTTTAGTTTTTCAATTTCCTTATTGAGTTTTCCTACATTTTCTTTTGATTCGAGAAGTTTGTATTTCTTTGATAATTCAACCATTATCTCGAGAGCTTCGTTTTGAGTCTTAGGTAAATGATTACTCAGCTCGCGTAACTCGTTTTTGCAAGTGAGTTTATCGTCTCCAATTTGCTGAATAATTTTATGTTTAGTTCGCGTAAACGAAAACTTTAGAACTATCTTCTTCATGTTTAATGCAGATACTTCATTTTGAACGGTTAACTGATCTTCCATTTGGTTATTTGATTTTTTCTTTTTACCATTCTTCGTGTTGAAGAAACTACCCTCTGCTACCTATTATGATCCGATGGCAATCACAAATAATACCGAATATGTATTATAAATTATATTTTTAAGATCTTAACCGTTTTTGAATTAACTATATAACTTATATTCTTTATATTTTTGTATCTGAAAAACAACAACAACAAAACTCTATTATACAAAAATTTCGTTCAATAACAAAAAAAACACTATTCTTCAAATAGTCGCCACATAATTGTTATTTAGTTCGTTATAGCCATATTGGCGCTATTTACTGGTTACATCGATCGTGGTATCGGAATGTTTTGCTAATTCCATTTTCTTCCAATCAATTGATATACTTACAAAATTTACACGAGGAGAAGACAATATAGTTTGTGGTGCTAAATTAAAAACAAGAAATAACCAAATTGTGGAAAGACCAATCCAGATGCTCTATCCTTTGGAAATTAGCTGCCAAGATCCTAAGGGCAATAGAGAAAACATAAACGAATCAAAAACGAGCGATACCACGCCAAAAGAGCAAATACAAACTATAAAGCAAAGACCATCGCGAAAAACAAAATTAAAAGCTAAAGAACTTATACATATTACAGCTCTGGATGAGCATTTTGATTATAACTTGCAGATATTTATCTACAAATTGAGGAGTGTGTCATAAACGTTTTAGTATTTATTTAAGAGAATTTTTGTAATTTATTGTCACGCGATGACGTTTTTTACGGTATTTTGAATGGGTTTTTCTTACGGCAATTATCTTGGTATTTAGGGAATACTTAATTTACATATTTTACATACGGCTAATTGAGAGTTTTGTATAATTATCGTTGATTTATATTGAAATACATGAAGCGTAAAAAGTGATATGCCTTAGGGGCCATCCATAAAGTACGTACGCAGGTATGGGGGGAGGGGGTTCCCAAAAGCGTACAAATGTGTACACGGGGGGAGGGGTGTTAAAGACAGTGAGTACGTACGCGGTTTGACTATCCTAAACATGATTTTTTTTTTCAATTGAACTTCACGTGTGTAACAAGTCAGAATTGTTTTTTTTTAATTCTTTATACGGGACCGTATAAGTCACCACACTTTCTAATGAAAGCAATCGCAACCATATACTAAAACTGTCCAACTTGTGTTTTCGAGTTTCAGCGAATCGAGCTAATTATGCCACACTCTTTGTCAACCCTGACCTAAAGCAGTTAAAAAGAACTTAGCATAGCAACTACGCACTGAATGCAAAAAATAAAATGCATCTCTACTAATCAACCAACGTCTCCACTAAGCCACTAATCAACCAACGTCTCCAACTGACCACACCAACAAACAACGTAGCACTCAACTGCAAACCATCTTTCAATACCTAATACACTCCTGTACTTAACTCAACAAATAATAAATTCTGAACATCAATTAACCACAATAGAAAACGTACAGCGATTATAATGAGCCAAAAATCTCTTCCGATAAGCCAAAAACTAAAATTACAACAACCAACATAACCAAAAGCAAAGAAACCAATTTTACTAGGCTGTCTCTACCGTCCTCACGACCGGAACGACTTAACGTTCGATGAAATAATAAGCTCAATAAGTACTGCCTTTGACAAATGCAGCTCAAACTTAATTGCGTACGGCGACTTCAACTTCAGTAACACTGTGTATTCAAATGTTGACATAGGAGGTAGCATCGCGACTGTTGCATACGTACAAAACGATTGGCCAACAGATAGCTAATTTCAAGACTGTCTTGAAGAAAATCATTTGACCCAGCTAATAACTTTTCCAATATATCGCAGTACTTGCGAAGAACCTCCAAAAAATACTCTTTACCTGATCCTGACTAACAAACCAGACCGAATAATGAATATAAAAGAAGCTAGTTTTAGTCTTATTGAAGAAAGTATAGCTCTCATTGATTTAAAAACTTAAGAACCCGAAATAACTGATTCCTCTAACGTCTACAAGAAGAGTCTGATCTGGAGCAAAGCCGACTACAACTTAATCTCTACGCATATTGAAACATTCAATATTTATCAACTTTCAATATTTATCTCTACGCATATCGAAAAATATCAAATATTTATCAACAAATCCAACGAAGCAACCTCATTACACGTCCCATCAACGACCACCCCTAACAAACACAAAATATGGGTGACCAAAGATGTTGCAAATGCTATCAAACTGAAACGCGAACTCTAGGGCAAATTTATCGCAGCCAGTCGAACAAACAAGCCAACTCTACGCGAACAGCATAAAAAAGCAAGCGAAGCAGTAAAAAAATTAGTTAAAACAGCCGTTCTGGATTACGAAATGGAACTGGTAAATAATAGCAGATATGACCCAAAAATAATCCACTCGTACGTCAAAAGCAGACAAGAAACACACAATCCGTCAACTTAAAACAACTAATAATCAAACTACAACAGATCCTAAAGTAACCTGCAACACTCTTAACAAATATTTCCAATCAGTTTTTGAAATCAAACCGTTAGGGTCTATACCAATATTTAACACTCGTTCCACTAGCATAAACCAATTGACCACACTTGCATCATACGAATCCGTCAAAGAAAAACTTTTAAAACTGAATAAATTCAAATCAATGGGCTTCGACGGTATTCATCCCCGCGTCCTGAAATACTGTGCTGCAGGTTTTTCTATCCCACTGAGCATTATCTTCTCTGAATCGCATAAAGCTAGAGAAGTACCGTCTTAATGGAAAAAAAGCCGAAATTACTCATCTTTTCAAAAGAGGCTGCAAGTTAAACCCCTCAAACTATCAATCTCATGCACTTCTGTCTCTAGCAAGGTAATGGAAAGCTTTTTACACAAACACATTACTGACCACTTAAACAAAAATAAACATATCAGCTCTGCTCAACACGGGTTTCGAAAAGGAAAAGGTTGCGTCACGAACCTAATCGAAACTTGCGACATCCTGACTGAAGCTGCACCCAAAGGTAACCCAACCGGTATCATATTCACAGACTTTGCTAAAGCATTCAACAAAGTTCCGCGCCGTCATTTAATGTTGAAAAGTGCAAAGCCATGCACACCGGGTGCAGCAACAAAAAAAAATTGACTGCAATTTATACAATGATTAATCTGGACGGTCAACTGCACCAGCTATAATGCACGTCATTTGAACGAGACCTAGACGTTTTTATAATGAGCGATCTAAAAGTTAAAAAACAAGTCTGTGCGGCTGCATCAGCTGGCAACCGAATGCTAAGCAGGCTCAAAAAGACTTTTCGAGGTCGAGGTTCTGCATTATGGCGCACACTGTATATTTCGTACGTTTACCCACACCTAGATTTCGCAGTACAGGCCACCGTTTTTAGCTCAAGACATATTGCCGAGCCACAAAACATATTGCCTCCTTTAAATACCTTTCTCATGCTCAAAGACTATGAAGCCTTAACCTGACAACACTAACTTTACGACGAAAAAAAAGAGACCTTATCGAACAATATAAAATCATGACCGAAATTGATAAAGTTAACTTTCACGTCCCTCAACTTCAACCTAACACGCAATCTTCAAAGTACAGTTTAAAAAACTAAGACTACAACTTGTCCGAAACTGCGCTGAAAGAAGCAACTTCTTCACCAACCGTATTGTAAGATTATGGAATTCTTTAACCCAAAATGCGGTGGACGCAAAGAACTTGAACAATTTTAAAAACGAACTTTCTCTCCTACGGCATCTTCACTTAAGCTGAAATTGAAAAACTGTATTTTTACATCAAAGAGGCCTGGTGTGCCGCTCTTTGTCAAAAAAAAAATTTGTAAATTTATTTTTGACCATGAATGAATAAACCTAACCTATAAATAATATGAGAAAAAAAAAAAGAGTTAATTTTATAAAAAAAAATAATGCGTACGTACGCGGAGGGAGGGAGGGGAGGTGGCAACTAGCCTGACTCGCAACAGAGTGCTACTACATTGACTGAAAAATAGCCTGACTCGCAACGGAGTGCTGCTACATCGACTGAGGATTAGGTTTGGGCAGGCAATCTATCAAATAATTATAAAAAAAAAAAAATTATTTTGCTTAAAATAATGCATTATAATGATTTTTTTTGGCGGATGTAGTTACATCCGAAAAAAATCACATGCGTAACTACATCTGGTTAAAATTATGCATATATAAAAAAAAACAAAAACGGATGTAGTTACATCCGAAAAATCTACAAATGTAGTTTCATGGATGTTATTACAGATCAATGAAATTTGGGATGTTATTGCACGGATGATACATCAATGAATTTTTTTTTTTTTTTAAATTTTATTTAGGTGCCTCAAGAAGTCCTTACGGTCTTATCACAGAGCACCGCGGATGAGCATTTAATTGGAAGTTTACGCCTCCTTCCTAACCTATGTCGCAAAGCTTGCCCAAAGATGGGTTTGAACCACGGATGTTATGTTTCTGAGGCGAGTGCGCTACCACTGCGCCATGGCTGCTTATTTGGGATGTTGTTGCACGGATGTTATTATACATTGATGAAATTTCGGATATTGTTTTACGGATGTTATTATACATGGCAAAAACGGATGTTATTGCCCTGACTCGTCTTCGAAAGAATACAGGTTCGAACAAGGGGGAGGGGGTCCTAAATTGGCGATTTTATTGCGTACGTATTTTATGGATGCCCCCTTAGTCAGTTGAACCCAACAAACAGAATAATAAATTCACGATACCACCTTACCGTTTTTATTAAACATTAAATAACATTAAACAACTAAAAATTACAAATTTTCAAATTGTTTTTCAGGGTTTATTTATTTCTAACATCTCCGTAATGATTTATTTCAGCCAATAAGTAAACAAAAATTTGAAAATAATTTTTTTTGTTTATAATTTTCAATATCATTTGTTAAAATATTATTCCAAGCACTGGTAGTTTGCCGAAAAGTAACTATCGTTTTGCGAACTTTTTGATTATTTCGATTCTGCGATAAAAATCGTATCGCATCACATTAAATTTATTGATAAAAATCAACTCACAATAAATCGTTCAGCGATTTGCTCAATAAAAATGACATCATCGCAATTACCTAACTAAATAATTAAGCGCCCCTGACTTATTTAAATATCGAAAATTACCGGATTACTAAAATTAATCGAATAGCGGTAATGGCAGTGGTTAGATTATTCAATATAAAAGCCGAAGACAATAAGTTAGAATTAAATTTATAATTATTAATTTTAGATTTATCATTATTAATTTTAGATTTATTATAAATTTCATCTTAATAACTAAAATTTTCTTTTTTTAAACATTTTTTTTTCTTTTTTTTGCACTAAAATTGCACTAAAATTTTTAAAAAAAAAAGAACTAAATTTGATTCCCACCACGCCTTTAAAAGTTTAATTTTTAAAAAATTATTATAATTACCATACAGGGTGTCTGCCAAAATTATAAGGTGGATTTCACTAATTTTTCCCTGACCCACTACCTGTTTTCCAACCTTATTTAATTTAAAGTTACCCTAACTCAACTTCAGAAAAACTGGACTTAGATTTTTTTGGAAAATCCTTTTTAATAGCAAAAATATAAACATTAATGCAGTCCCCATCTAAAATATAATAATACAATTTTTATTACGTGTACGATATAAAACTTATTTAAGTTACGTAAGTTTTATAAAGAGTCACTTTCCCTGATTTTTGTGTGCTTTTTTTTTTGAAAATTTAACCTTATTTCCCAAATTATTCCATGATATCTGATATCTGAATTACCTAATTTTTTCTAAGTGATTGATTGTGATTGATTGATTGTAAGTGATTGATTGTGAGTGATTGGGACATTAACGCTCTAGAGCACTTTAACAAGTTTGCGCTGTTTAAAAAAGAGAATTTTAATTATAAAAAGATTTTTCTAAGGTGTGCAGAGGATACAATGCTCCCACATATGGGGCACATTTTCTTCGTTCCAAGAGAACGCAACCAACAATCGGTACAGCATACATGCCAGCAACTTGTTGATACCAAAGGATTTATATATGGACCAACACATATTGAACATTTCAAAGCATTGTCTAAATGGGTGCCTAGTTTCCGTATTTCGAATTTTAATAGTTCTATAAGTTTTTCTGAGTTGGCACCCGCGCTTTTTTCCAGTTGCTCGAGGGTTAAAAATTCTTCAGCAGTTGTAACGGGTTTATCACTGGTAGGGAATTCTTCTTTAGAAGATAGCAACTTCTGGTTTTTATCAGATAATGATGAAGAACTACATAAAACTATATCTGCATCAGAAAACCTTATTTAAAAAGAAAAATGTTAAGACAAATTTTTTTGTTATTCTAATAGAGAAATGGTTTCAAACAATCATGATAATAATATATATAAATTTAAATATACAATATAAATAAATTTAAATATATAATATAAATAAATATATATAAAATTAAATATATATATATATATATATACATATATATATATATATATATATATATATATATATATATATATATATATATATATATATATATATATATATATATATATATATATATATATACATATATATATCTTAAAATCTCTTAAGTTAAATTTAATAATAAAAAAAAAGCATTAAAAAAACAATTTTTTTATTTAATTTAATATAATTATATTTATGACCATCTAACAAATTATATACTTAACGCTTAAGTTTACTTTAAAAAAAAAATAGAGGATAGAAATGCACTGGAATTTACTAAAGATAAATTTCTAATGACCTGCACATAAATTTATAACGAAATGATAATTAGTACTAAATAAGTATGAAAAAAGTATTAAAGTGAAGTTCGAGCCTGGACGCTAAAACTAGCTCAGCTTTGGATGAACGGATGGAGTAAATTGCAATATTAAACAAACTTATTACTTGAATCCTCATTATATAAATTTAAACCCGAAATTATCGAATTTGAAAATAAAAATGGTAAAATTTGATAAAATTTGATAAACTTTTAAATATTAAATTTGAGAAACTTTTACTAATATATTTGATGGAATTTTTAAGTTTCAGCAAAAACATTAACATTTTTGGGTGCAGACAGACGATTTATAAAAATAAGAAATAATCTAAAATGAGTACAAAGTCAATATAGAAAAAATCAACTCCTTATTCATTCGCTGGAAACTATTTAAAAGGTTTAAAAAATAGTTAAGTAAAATTTTCCCTAAAAACATTTTAAACATTATTAACAAAAAAATGTTGACACTAAAACAATTTTAAAAATGTGTTTTTAAGTGATATCTGTTAAAAGACTTGTTTTCATTCTTTTAATTAGCAAACTTTATTTTTAATTTGAACACCACAACATCAATACTCTTTTACTACTTTAACTGTTCATCAAATAATATTAGTAATTGTTTTTAAATTACTTAAGTTAAAAAGAAAAAAAGTATTATGCTAAAAAAAATTTCCAAAAATTATTCAAAACCTCCCCAAAGCTGAGAAAGCCACTACAGATGAGGAGGCTACTTTATTGTGGTTATCTCTCTAAAATCTTTAACTCTGAAACACAAACCATGACGACCAAGGCTGCTGCGCGGAGAAACAAGTTGCGCACAGTACTAAGAGGGATGTGGTAGGAATTGAACTCAAAACCTCTTGCTTATGAAGTGAGCACTCTACCACTACACAACTACCACATTTACCATTACTACACCACTACTCCGTTTACCGTTTGTTGTGAAGTTTTAAAAAAATCTAATATTTGTTTTACTAATGTATTAGTGGTGTATTAGAAAAACATTTACTTTAGAAAAAAAAGAAGAACTAAATTTGATTCCCACCATGCCTCTAGTAATATTGCACTTAATGATGTGACCTCTGAAAATTAATTAAAACTAAAGTGAATTTAATTCCGAGTTATGAAAAAGTTGCTTACATAATAAATATCAAAAACTTTAAAGTAGAAAAATTTTGTTAAAGAAACTCAAACTACCAAAAGAAAATTATAAAATATTCACAATTTATTTTGAAAAAATATGGTATCATATGAAGTAATGTAATTTCCTATCATTACCATTTATAATTAATAACATAATAAAATTGATGTTAAAGCCAAGAATAAACTAATTTAATTTTATTTCATTAAAAAACAAAAATTTATAATATTAAATTTATTTAAAAAATACATGAAAAGATACTGTGAAGTACCAAAATTTTCTTCTAAAGTATCCCCATCAACGTCTAATTCTTCATCACCATCTTCCATTTCCAGTCTCATGAGTTTTCCTTCTCGTCGTAAAAATTCACTATCAACTAAAGAACTTGTTCGAATCCATGTTTGTCCAGCCCAAGAAAACTCTTCAACTACTTCATCTTGTTCATCATCACTACTTATATATATATTAAACTCATTCTTTTTTCGTGATAGACATTTTGACAAATGGTTTAAAGTACAGCCATTTGTTGGATTTAAAAACTCATTGCATACAACACAAGATATATAGTTATCTTCTTCTACTGAATCAGTTATTTCTTGAGCAGCATACTCGGTAGTTTCTTTGTCTGTATGTCCTGAGTGACTTTTTTCAATCAGTTTTTGGTTACTTAGCGACATTATATACATATTTGAATATCTGGAATACTTTCTCTTTTTAATATTTTGTAGAGCTTCTTCTCTATCTTCTAAAAGCATTTTTTCTGAAGAACTTTCTTCATCATCAGGTAGACAATTTTTTTTTTTTAAAGTTTTGGTTTTAATAAGTTGACCTAAATCTCTTATTGATGTCATTTTTATCTCCTCTTTATAATGTCTCTCAAACTCATGCTTGCCACGAATAGTTAAAGAACAAACAGGGCAAAGGAAAATTGAAGTTTTAGGTCTTTTTCTTTCTAATCGATTTATTGCACAAACTTGTGAATGTTCTTTACGGTTTACCTTCTTTCTTCTCCCCAAGATTTCCATGTTTTAATATTTTATTTAGATAACTAGACTTTATGAGCAAACTATTTCCAGATAAATGCAAATAAATAGAAAAAAATTAAATTAAATACAAATGAAGTATAACTATTATGTCAATTAAGACAATGCCCTTGATAAGACAAATACCCTTAGATTTACATTTGGGTTATATTCTACATTAATTTTTGTTGAGAACATAGCAAATATTAAAAATTGTTAAAAGCATGAAATAATTGTTATTATATATACTTTTTTTTTTGGATCAAGATTGTCTGACCAAACCAAAACTTAAAGTTATTGTATATACACTACACTGCTCTCATCTCTTTATAATTGAGTTACGAATATACTTAAATGTATATATACTTAAAAAAAAAAATAAATAAATACTTTATAAAAAAAAAAAAAAACATAAAAAAGGAGGTTAAAAAACAAAAAAAAAAAGTATAACAACAAAAGCAAACTTTTTTGTTTTAAAAATTATTTTTCAATTGCGGCATGTGTTCAGTGGCATTAACTAAAATTATTTGTTAGCTATTTTTGAGCATGTTGCAATAACATCTAAAACAAGGCACCGTCACATAAATAAAAAATAGATCAAGTGAGAACAAGGCTTTGGTCATGATTAGGGTCAGATATAAAGTCTTTGCTGTTCCGAATTAACCTTGCCATTAAGGCTCACAACCTTTGCCTTTCAATCTTTAACTTAAAAAGTCAACTTTACAACTCGCTTTCCAGACAACCCAAATTATTTACCTTCTCTACTCGACTTATGTCTTCTTTCTGATCCTAGTTAGTGCTCCTTTTCTCCACATTCATACTTAGGTGCTTCTGATCACAGTTTAATCTCTCTAAAACTATTATCACATTCTTCTTCATCATCAGAATCCCCCTATCATTGTACCTCTTCAACTACCTTAAAGCTGACAGGGACTCTTTTTGTCATTTTCTTCATGATAGCCCTTGGTTATAAATCTTTCATCTTCCTGCTGACAAGTGTGTTTCTTACATAATTTCTTGGATTCAGGCTGACATGAAATCTTTTTGAAATCCCTCTCGACAATTCCAAGTCAAACCTCAGTCTTCTCCATGCTTTTCCTCTCATTTTGCTGCTGCAATTTCCAATCGAAACCATTACTTCCATATCTATTAGCAAAACAATTCTCCAGAAAACAGACCTCTGTTTATTACTGCAAGAAACGATTGTAAAAAGGTTTTGTCTAATGCCAAAGCCCACTACTCTCAGGTCATGAAATCTTGTATTTCATCTCAAAAATTAGGCACTCATGACTTTTGGAGAATCTTTAACAGTATCAATAATAAAGGCATATCTGTTATTCCACCTCTCTTGTATGGTTCAGATTTTTTCATTTCACCTAAAGACACTGCTAAATTGTTTGCTAAGAACTTTGCAACAATATCATCTCTTAATTCCACTAGTTGTGCTCTACCTGATATAACCAACAAACAGGTTGATCCATTGCTTGACATTCGTATTACTCCAACTTCTGTATCTAAAGTAATTTCTTGCTTAGACTCTTCTACATCTTGTGGTCGGGACAACATACCTGTTATAGTCTTGCAGAAGTGTTCTTTGAAGCTGTCGTCTACACTTTCAAAACTATTTAACAGGTGCTTATCAGAGTCTTGTATTCCAGCCTGCTGGAAAGCGGCATCTATTATCCCTATTTTCAAAAATTTTGGAGAGCAATCTGACTTATCTACCTACTGTCCCATTAGTCTTCTTCCTATCATAAACAAGGTTTTTGAATCTTTAATTATCAAACAATTAATCTCTCATCTTGAATCTAATCATCTTTAATCTTCTCGTTCTACATATGATTTGCTACCAGCAATAACCAATAGGTTTTATCATGCATTAGATAGAGGTGGAGAGGGTAAGGCTATCTTTCTTGACATTTCTAAAGCTTTTGATAAATTTTGGCATGTTGGTCTTCTCCATAAGCTATCTTTCTCCTAAGTACCAGGTAACACCTTTCAAACATCTTAAAGATTGAACCCTTCCTTTCCAATCATAGTATAAAAGTTGTCTTCAATAGACAACACTCTTTTTCATATCCTGTAACTTCAGGAGTTCCTCAAGGTTCTATCCTTTGTCCTTGGACATTTGAGCTTGGAATGGATCTCGTTTCTGCTACAGCATGGGGCTCACAGTGGCTGGTGAACTTTAATTCAGATAAAACCCAATTTTTTTTAGCCAATCATTATCGTAATAATTTAGATCTTTCTATATTTATGAACAGTAATGTACTCGATGGGTCAAAAATTCATTCTTGTGTTACTTGTCATTTAATTAAGTCTCATCCTTTTACTGTGACTGTTTCTAAGTGCTCCAAAAATTCTTATTCATCTAGTTTCTTTCCTCAAACATCAGTTCTTTGGAATTTGCTTACTTTATCTTGCTTTCCTGACTAGTATAATTTGCAATCTTTTGTCAATCGTTATCTTGCTCTATAAAGTTTATCTTTTCTCTTTCAGTAACTTCCAACTTTAATAGTGGTTGCTTGCAGCCTTATTGGAAGCGAAAATGTTAAAAAAAAAGAAAAAAAAAGAATAGGGTTAAGACAAGGGTAAAGTTGTTCTAACTTGATAGTTACTTAAAAACCTTAACCCAGATCCTGACCCTCACTCAAAACTCTTTTTTTTAATCTGTTGAAGAGTGCATAATATCAGACAAACTTACCCATGCTCAGACATACTTGTGACATGCGCAAAAAAGCAAATAAATACTTTTATTTTACGCAGCTTATCTGAAAGATTATCAATATATATATATATATATATATATATATATATATATATATATATATATATATATATATATATATATATATATATATATATATATATATAATAAAGAAAAAAGAGAAGTATACAATACAATTAAAAAAAAGCTACGATAGACAATTTAATACATAGTTAATAAAACAAAATCAGATCTAAAAATTGCTGCTTACTTATATAAAAAGTAAACTAAAAATTAAAAACTATGTAACATCGATTGAAAATTTTAAAGTGTGTGTCTTAATGGATTAAAAGCAGATATTTTAAATAAATATTTTCAATCAGTATTTATCTACTATAAATGATATTTTACCAAAGTTTAATAAAAGGTGTTTTAGTTCACTACAATTCATCAGTATTACCTCAACTGATGTTGCTAATATGAAACATGTTTTAAACCTCAGAAAATTGGTCAGAATAGATAGGATTCATCTTTTTTGTATTAAAAGATTGAACATTGCGTTAAATCTTAACAGTATTTTTTACAGTATTTTTGCAAATTAGAGATGATTTTAAAAAAATTCAAAAAACAGACAAACAACTTAGTAGTAGTAGTAGTTGTAGTAGTAGAAGTAGTAGTAGTAGTAGTAGTAGTAGTAGTAGTAGTAGTAGTAGTAGTAGTAGTAGTAGTAGTAGTAGTAGTAGTAGTAGTAGTAGGAGTAGTAGTAGTAGTAGTAGTAGTAGTAGTAGTAGTAGTAGTAGTAGTAGTAGTAGTAGTAGTAGTAGTAATAGTAGTAGTAGTAGTAGTAGCAGTAGTAGTAGCTATAGTTATTGTTGTTGTTGTTGTTGTTGTTGTTGTTGTTGTTGTTGTTGTTGTTGTTGTCGTTGTTGTTAATGTTGTTGATGTTATTGTGTTATCAATAATATTGTTGTTATTATTATTTCTATTACTATTTGATTTTATTTTTAAACAAGATAACGAAAAATTTAAATGTTCATTATATTTAAATAATTAAAGTACCACTGATAAATTAAACATAAATCAAAATCGATCTGTGACAAAAATAAATAAAACAATCCTTTTAATTTTCCCATCAACTGGTTTTACTTTCGTTTCGTGGGTACTCGTGGGCGCATGCAAAAATTTCCGAGATGCCGGTAAATGCAATTTTTTATATTCTAAAAGTTGCGAGCAAAGTTAAGGTTGTAGGAATATAAAAAAAACTTTTCTGAAATTCTTTTACAAACTGTTTTTAGTTTATTAAAACAGTAAAATGCATTAAAAGAAAAATATCCAATTAAAAAAAAAAATATATATATATATAAAAGTTAAAGACTGCTGATACTGTAGCAATCTTATGTATAGTTTCTACCAAGATAAACAGTTTTTGGAGCACGCGTCCTTATAATACTATTTAATGCCATAAACATTTTGAGTCTCCTCATTAAAACATTATCTTAAAGCTAGTCAGAACCAAGATCTTCCCAAGAAACTATTAGTTTGACTAAACTTCTTAAAGCTGTTGGTAAAGATATACTATATTCAAACGCAGCCGTGTAGTAGTAGTGTCTTCAGAACTGGAGATCTGCGGTTCAAAGCCAGCTCTTGACATATATGTATTAAAATTCTTGGTTAAATGTTATTTTGCGGTGGTATCTGATAAGGCTGTTAGTTTTGGAGCATCTAAATAACTATCATAAATTGGGACTATCTCAAAGAACTAAAAATATAATTATATATTATAATTTTATCAATCAACCTCCGTAAATATGTTTACAAAGTAAAAACTAACAAATCAAATTTAATATCAAGAATAAAAGAAGATAAAAGAAGATAAAACAAAAAGAATCAGTTTTTTTAAAGAATATTTTTAAAAATTGTTTGCTGTTGCTTTGTATTGCAACATTGAACTGTTTGTACCGAAATTTGAAGAGTAACTTATAAGAATTACTATTTCTGAATCCCAAACTGAATTTTAACATTCATTTTAACTAGCATTAGTTTTTCATATTAAGTCTATAAATGTTGCATAATTCTTTTATATCATCCGAAAAGGTGTGTTTAACTGAACAATATTTAAGCTGGGAATAAATGATTTATTGTAACCTGATGTAATTATTGTACTGATTTGTAACCGCAAAAAACTAGAGCAAAATAGTAAGCACTTTAAATGTACATTTATAAATCAATTTATTTATCATTATTAGAAATCATAAATTAGAATTACACAGAACAACTTTACATATAGAGGATTTTCTGAACTGAAGTTTTCCGAAATTTCCTGTACTATCCATGTTTATTTTTGACATTACCAAATTAGTAACGTTGCG